ATCTTCTTCTAGTGTTCTAAAATACAGCCTAGGGGACTCTTTTTGACTATTCTCCCACTCTGGCTGCTTCCTATTTCATTTATTTTACCTTAAAATGCTACTTAAGTAAGTTGACAAGATCCAGATGGTACAGAGATGCCCTCTCCCCGCAGAGCACGCACCGAAATTCAAGACAACGATGAAGATGAACTTACTGCCTCCCGCTAGAGGAGATATTTCACCTGTGCCACTTAAAACCCTGAGTGTGAATAAACAGGCAACACCCATGCCCCAGCGGGCGGGCACTCGGCTCTGCACTAAGGGATGTTCACTCGCCCTGCACTACGCCCTGCGCTTCGTTCCTCCCCGGGCGCTTCCCCGGCAGGAGAAGGGACCCGCGGGGCAGAGAACTCCGCTGGGCTGCGCCTCACACCCACGGAACAGCCACACCGAGGGGCCTCACCGCTTGTTACCCGCACACCAGAGAAGGGCAGATACTACAAACAGCAAAACACCCTTCAGGATATCTAAAGCCATTGCCAGTTGATTGTGCGGTGCTGACAGACGAGGGACGGTGCATCACAGTGTCAGCACCTGCTGTTAAAAAAAAATAAAAAAAACAGAAACAAAAAACAACAACAAAAAAACAACAAACCTGCTGCTTTCGGTGTTCGGGGCAGGCGGTGCGGGCCGAGAGCCCAGAGGCCGCAGGCGTGGGGGCCTCAGGGAGGCCCCAGGGCCGCCGCCGCCAACTCCGCACCTGCAGGTGGGGGGGTGCCGAGTACAGCCGTGAGCGATGACCTCCAGCCTAGCTGTTGTAAATGAGTTTTTAAGCCCGTCCTCATTAATGCTTTTCTGTAGTTCCTTAATAACCGGAAAACGCTGTCCTTCTCAGCAGGTAGCGGACGTGGGGAAGGGGCTGGCGGCTTTTCTGAAGGTGGTTCGACCACAGCTGCAGGATCCGTCCGACAGTCCGACAGTCGGATCCAGTAGGTGACGTGGCCTCGGCTGCAGCTGCCGCGGCAGTCCCAGCACTGTTTAACGCTGTCAGAGGTTGACGTACCAGTTGCCCTGTAGTTAAAGATGACCGCAGCGCTGGCATTCTTCCTTATGGCCACCTCAGATATGGCAATCCCTGCCTCTTGCCGTGTTCCGAGATCCAGAGCAGACGGCGCATCAGCAGGGACCCCATGCCTTTTGCACCAGACAAGCAAAGTGCGCAGGGCTTTCTCCTCACCAGAGGGAGGTGGCGGAACGGGCTCCGTGATGGGGGGTGAAGGGGGCACTGCCTGAGGGGCAGTATCTGGCAAACACAGTATTTCTCTTCTTTCTGCTTATCTTCAGTTCCTTTCTCAGGCTGACCCAGCACTCCTCCGGGACTTTTCCAGCTGCTCAGGGGTACACAACGAGCTGGTCAAGGTCAAGGTCAAACTGTTGTTCTCTCTCTGTCAGGCATTCGGCAGGCCCGCTGCCTCCCCCAACATCAACCCAAAGGGTGAGCCCTGAGAACGCACTGTCTGGGCCTTCAAACTGCAAATTAAGGTCGATAAAACAGGAACTGTGGCACTAAGGAATCCCTCTATGATAATTGAGTGATTTCTCATCCCTTTTTCTTTCCCAAGTAAATGTAGAAAATTTAGGGGTTTAAACAGAAATACCAGAAGTCTTTATGCCAGTTTTTAAAGGATTCCCACTCGATAATGTTCAAAAGAAAAAGTGATGGTTTTGGCACTGCTGCATCCATGCAGACTCACTACAAAGTACCCTTTCACCCAGAGCAGCGTTATATAAGTTTAAAGAGGAAATCAAACAAAAGCATTTTTGTTAAATAAAAATGTAATTAGGCCTCAGGTATTTGCTAGATGCAATTTTTACTTTTTCTGTTTCTAATACCTGCTTATTGACCTGCAAGGCAGAGGGAGACTGAAGAGCTCATCACTGTTTTCTGATGAATCTGATAATTTGCAAGCTGAACAGTTGACCAACACTTAAAACATATTTCAGTAAATGATGCAGCAAATGGAGACATGGGAACTGGCAGTGCATAATGCAGCTAGATACAGAATCTCTCGTTATTTGTATCCTAGACAGAGCGGTGCATATACTGAACTTTTCACGCTGAGTCGGAGCATTAGTCATAATGCAGAAGTTTAAATCTCCACTATAAAAACCAGACTTGCCCACAGAAGAAAAAGATATGCTGAGCCATAGATACTAAGGTTCTTTGAGCTACCTCTAGGCATGATTCTGATCTTAGTGCCACCTCGGAAAAATAGAGTTGAATAGTGTTCCTTTAATAGAAAAAAAAAAAATAAAAATCAGCTTTTGGTCCATTAGAAGGAAAAATTCCCTATGACTAGGAATGCCTGAATCTCAGAGCACATTGGTTAATCGGATAACATTTACCTTTTCAGAAAGTACAACAAGAAATTGCTGTTCAACCAGAGCAATCTTATGCTCGGGGTAGTTGAAATCCCTATCATTCCACTTACATTGTCACCTGGACCTTGTGAGCAGCATGCTGAATGACTTTGGATTTTTCCAAGAAAGAATTAATTGCAAAATATAGTATTTTCCAAGAAAGAATTAATTGCAAAATATAGTATTACTTGCACCTGTGTTTGGTGCCTCTTCTCTTTTACTCACAGTGAGGAAACCACCACTAGAGACACCTAACCAAATACTCTAGCTCTCAACACAAGCGTAAGGTCTCCAGTAAAGGGTGGCACATGGGAGGGCTTCTCCCAGTCAGGTATTGCTCTCTCTGTTAGCAAAGTTCCAACACAAGACCTCTGGATACACCTCTGGCCATTCTCCTTCCTCTGTAGGTACCCACGGGTCTGCTCTCCACGCACACCTCTGAGGGTCTCGCATGCTGTTCCCTGTTGAGGCTGTTGAATTCAAAGGCATGTTTGCAGATAACCTGAGTTCACCAGTAAACAACAGCTGGGCTGACTTTTAGGCAAAACGCAACAGAAAAAAAAAAAAAATTACTATTTGAGTGCTACAACCCTGTAACTATTTTTAAGTTTACCCACCTGCATAACTAAATGACATGAACAGCAGGTTTGTCTCACCAGGAGAAATACCATGAGAACAGTGTTAGCAAGTCTGCGTATTTGCACAGCTTAGGAAGGTCATTTCATTCTTGTACCAGATTTCCACTACTCTTCAGTACTGGTCAAGAAATTTCATCTGGTTATTCTTCTAAGAAGCTTAATTTGTGCAGCTGGCTATTTTTAAATGGCACATACTACTGCATGGCAAAAAGGAAAATTAAGGAAGAAAATTAGCCCGTAATGTTCCTTTCTGTCTGGTTAATAGACTCCACATGTATTATTCTATTAAAGAGAATTCTAACATGTAGTTTAGCAGGTTGTACTGTCATTTCATCCTGCCCCTCTGCCAGAGACAGCAGCCCAAATACCCTGCAGACAGCTGATGATGGCAGGATATCTCCAGGGGAGCAGATTCACCTGATGGAGCGTGGGGAAAGACAAAGCAGGAGCTGTTCGACAAACCAGGAATCATCTGCCAGGCAAAACTACCAAGAAAACGATGAGGCAAAGACAACTAAGGATGAGGGGAGAGAGAAGGCCAGGCTGGGCAGCACCCACAGCCCGCCAGCAGAAGACAGGACGAGGGGCTGTCGGTGCCCCTTGAGGGGGTTGACAACTCAACCACCACGACACCCACTTAGGGGGTCACCACTGATATCCCTGAGTGTTATTTTGACAGGAGGGTGCCACGCAGGATTTCCTTGTTTAACACACCCCACTGAAACAAACCCAGCTGTTACTAGCCCCAGAATTCTACCAAGTCTAACTCAACCCGAGTCGTGTTTTCAGCTCCCAGACGCTACCTGCATGCGAGAGTGGCTAAATAAGGCCAAGTGCTTCGGGATCAGCATTGGTGACTCACGACTTGACCCACTTTCCAATGATGCAGAGTCAGTGGCTGGGCACAGTGCGAGGTGGGGGGGGGTCCTGCAGCAGCCCAGCTATGTCCATGCAGCTGGGCCACGCTGCTCACAAACACTCTCAGCATTTTCAGGTATGCAGAATTTATGCCAGGGCTGTGCAGCTGATTGTACATCAAGCCTGTTCGTGTGAAACAAGGCAAAAATTATATTCGGCGCAGCTAGTAATCTAAAAAGCTAAGGGGGAAAAAAAATCTTCTCCAATCACATCAGGCAGTTAATATATCTTTTCCTCTTCCACATCTATTTTCTTGCATTACATTATTGAAGATGACATGCAAAACCGTGCAAGGAGCAAGATCCCAAATTCATACAGTGGTTTTGAGCTTTAAGGCTCTGTTCGGAGTAGTCTGACAATAAGAAAGTAATTGGTGATAGATGAAAAGCTAGAGTAGGCAGAACAAAAAGCATCCGCAAAACACTGAAAAAAACCCCGAGAAAGCAAAGCTGATAATTTTGCTCACTTAGAAAGTTTAGGATGATGGTGGTGGCTCTTTGAACTTGTCCATTTGGCTTCTGCAATGAATTTTTGATCTCTGAGTCATTAATTGAATCCTGATTTATATTGCACAGTATCAAGGCACTAGAGTTAAGCATTCACACAATATACACAAAGAAACAGACTTTTTGTTTCTAAACAGTAAGAGGCTTTGCATGATTGAGAGGACACTTTCTGGAGCATCAGCCCTCTGCAAGGTGTTTGTATATGCCTAGCCAGGAATAATAAGTATTTTTACGATTTATCCCTGTAATAGGCAAGGACCAACCCAACCATCTGGCTCAATGCAAGACTGGAAAATCTGTCTAGAACTATATCCACTCTTGTCTCACTACTCTTTTAACAGGAGGTTATAGGCATCAAATACTGGGTGTGCACCAGACAAAGCACAAATGGCTGGATACACTTTAATACCAGTGGCAATATTTCAGTGCAGGCTGAAACAGCATGTCTACAATTTGAAATTATCTTTCACTGCTTACTGTAGGCTTTTCAAACACGGCTGTTAAATAACACAACCTTTTCTGTTCTCTCTCTCTGCAGCCGCAGCAAAAGATGTGGCCATGGTTGCCCACAGCATGGCTAACAGCACCGCTCCTGTTCTTCTCCCCACCTTACTGCTCCTGCTGCAGAACAAGACCTACCCCGAAACCTCCACCCCTCCTGCTGCCTACGAGGGTACAGGGTCCCCCATGGCGCCCAGATCAGGCGGGAACCACACTGCCTTGCTCTACGACCTGAGGCCGGGGGAAATTGCAGCAGCCGCCATGGTTTGGGCAGTGCTGTGGCTGGTCTCCATCTTTGGAAACTCCCTCGTTTGCTTAGTGATCCACCGCAGCAGGAGGACACAGTCCACCACCAACTACTTCGTGGTGTCCATGGCTTGTGCAGACCTTCTCCTCAGCATCGCCAGCGCGCCCTTTGTGCTGCTCCACTTGACCTACGGCAGCTGGATGCTGGGGACCTTCATCTGCAAGCTGGTACGGTACGTGCAGTACCTCACCCCTGCGGTCCAGATCAACGTGCTCCTCTGGATAAGCATCGATCGCTTCTACACTATCATCTACCCCCTGAGCTTCAAAGTCTCCAGGGAGAAAGCCAAGAAGATGATTCTGGCCTCTTGGCTCCTGGGCGCGGCATTTGCAGCACCAGCTTTCGCCTTCTACGGCTCCAGCAGCGACCACCACTGCCCCTTTTTCCCACCCGGTTCTTGGCAAGGAGCTGCCTATGGCATCACCCACCTCCTGGTGGTCTTTCTAATCCCATCCTTCCTCATTATCCTCTTCTACCAGAAGGTCATCAAGTACATTTGGAGAATAGGCACCGATGGCAGGACTGTCAGGAGGACAACAAATATTGTCCCGAGAGCAAAAGTGAAAACCATCAAGATGTTCCTAATGTTAAACACGGTGTTTCTCCTGTCCTGGCTCCCTTTCTACGTCCTACAGCTGTGGCACCCGAAAGAAACAGACGGCAGCAAGAGCTCCTTGGTCTTCCTGGCCATCGCCTGGCTCTCTTTCAGCTCTTCAGCCGCCAAGCCAACGCTCTACACCATCTACAATGCAAACTTCAGGAGAGGGATGAAAGAAACTTTTTGCATGTCTGCCATGAAATGCTACAGAAGCAATGCCTACACCATCACCACCAGTTCCAGGATAGCCAAAAAAAATCATGTTGGCATCGTGGACATCCCAGCTCCAGCCAAAACTGTCACCAAAGATTCCATCTATGAGGCTTTTAACAGAGAAGCAAAGGAAAAAAAGCTTGCCTGGCCTATTCAGTCCAATCCCCCAAATACGTTTGTCTAGTTGGTTTCATTGCTTTGAAAAATTGTTATGTACTGCAAGAACAGGGAGTTTTCTCTCTCTTTTGAAGCAATGTATATTCACATATTTTTAAGACCACTTTTAGGCAAGAGAAAAAGATGTTTTATTTTATTAAATGCCTTGATTTTGATGCGTGCAGTCTTTACTTTCAATTACATTCTGCTTTTTAGAACTACTCTCCCTGAATGATAACCATAATCTTTACAAAACAGCAGTTTTTAAAATGCCCTACAGGTAGTGGAAAAAGGGAAAAGAAAATGAATTGCTTTATATATCCATGTATATAGACAGATAGGAAGGAAGAGAAGCACACTATGATGGATAAGTGTCTCAATCCACCCCAAGCCATCTCTATGGCCTTTGGTGAGGCCCCTGTGAATCTCTTTGCACTGGGACTTTCCTTCTTGCTCAGACCCCAGGGGTAAGATCTCTGTCCGTGGGCAATGCTGGCCTAATGCTGAGCCCACTCACAGGAGGGGTACAATTCCCAGCACCCCGGGAGGAGGGCCAGAATCAGGGCAGCGCTCCATGCCGTTGCAGCTTCACTCTTGACCCTCTCCAGTGGCCTGGTGGCCCCAAGCGCTCCAGCAAAGCCCTGCCCTTAGACTTGCCCTCCCTGCCTCCTTTCCAGCTGCTTCTCCAGCCAGTATGGTGCCCTCACACAGCAGTCAGGGCTGGGCACCCCCTGAGACAAGACCTGCTCCCCAAAAGGGGCCACAGCACCTCCAGCCACCCAGGGCTCCTGCCCTCGGGAACCCCCTGTGTCTCCTGGCCGCAGTCCCTCCTGCTGAGCCACGGCTGGGGCACCTGCACCAACCAGTGCTTTTCCCCGGAGAGGAGCAGCAAAACCAGCTCCGCAGTCCCACGCTGGCCGGACGGCATCCTCCACAGGGGCCTCTTGGATCAGGTCCCCAAGAGGCGTCCCGGGGCAGGCAAGCTGGCAGGGAGCCCTGGCTGCAGGTGGAGCCGGCTCCTGCTGCGCTTGCTCTGCCAGCGCAGGGAGAGAACAACCCAGCGGGACCGCCCGGGCCTTTGCTCCTGCTGGGAAGGGGAAAAATGGCGTCTAAAAATGGGACGGATGACAGACTCTGTGATCGCTGGGGATGGGGGTGTAGCCAGCAAAGAGAGTGCACCTTGGATGAGTGCTCTGTGCTGCTTCAGAGAGGGAAACCCTGAGGGCGCCCAAGGTCAAGCGCTGTCCGTCACAGGCAGCTCTTTGGCAGGTGACAGAGCCCACATCTCCTTCAAAGTCAGGGCCAAGCTCTTGCCTGGCCTCATGCTCACCCATCTGGAGACGCCCAGTACACGGCCTCAGAGCCGTGGAGGCTCTGTGTTATCGGTGCCCAGGCCAGGCGGTGTCTGCCCAGGGGATGGGAAGGCGGGGAAGGACGGCAAGGCTCTGGCGAGCCAAGAAGGGGAACGACTTGCAAGGAAAAGGGGAAAGGGAGGACTGTGAGGGGAGACATGGCACTGAAAGAGAACAGGGCTTAGGCTCATGTGGCACCCCCTGCACCCCTGCAAAGCCGCAGCTCATGCCAGGAGAGCACTGCTGAGCTCACAAAGCTGGCACATCCCGAGGCCAAGACAAGGCGAGGGGGTCCCTGGGCAGAGCTGGGCAAGGGCCTCCCCGTGAGCCAGCTGTGGGCAGAGGTTCCGTGCTGGGTGTCAAGGTCAGTTGCCAGGGCAACCCTCCTGTTGCCCCTTGGCTCAGTTGCCAGGGTAACTCCAGTTGCCCCTGGCTCGGTTGCCAGGGTAACCCTCCAGTTGCCTGTTGGCTCATTTCTGAGGCAACCCTCCATTTGCCCCTTGGCTCCCGTGCTGGCACAACCCTCCAGTTGCCCCTTGCATCACCCACAGACCTGCAGGGCCTTCAGCTCGGAGGACGACGGGCTCGGCTCCACTGGCTCCGCTGGCAAGAGCCACTCTTGCTGCTTGGCAGGCCCCTGACCCAGGTAAGGACATCCACCCTCTGCCCGGGTTTTCTCCAGCGCCCAGAAACCCTCAGCAGCCGACACTGGGCAGTCGCCTCTGGGCACCGTTCAGCCGAGGCTGCGCTGCTGCTGGAATCCCCCCCAGCTCAGCTGCCTGAGCACGCTGCCCTCCTCCCCCAGACATTTCCTTCTCAACCCAAACGCTGCCCGGCATTGAAACCTCTTCTGCAGGGCTTGGCGGGAGGGGGTCCTGCCCCCTTCTTCTCAGGGTGGCAGAGGGAAACGCTCCCGTGGGTGGGGCAGCGAGATAACGGGGCCAGGATGTGCCGGGACAGCGCGGATGCTCAGGACAGACTCTTTAGGACAGACAGAGTCCCACTCCTGAGGAAACTTTGCCCGCTCTGCAAGGGCTGAGGAGGCTGCCCAGGGAGCAGCGCCCACCCAGCTTGGTGTCAGGCCTTCCGCTGTGCTGAGCCCTCCTTTGCCTTCCAATCCAGACCCCGCTTACCTTCCCCAGTTATGCCCAGAAACAGGGAGGCTCAGAGCCCGCAGGGACAGGAACACCAATGTTCCAGGGAGTGGATGCTGCTGGGTAAGCGCAGCTCTGTCCTACCCCCGGGTCTCAGGAACTGTGTCACTAACCCCTTGGGCTGAAGGCAGGGTTTGCCTGCTGGCAGCCTGCCCAAGGAAGATGAGGTGACGATGGAAAGCATTTCTTCCCATTCGCCCCTCGGAAACAGCTCCCTGGTCTCTCCTCTACCAGAGGGACTGCGGTCAAGCCGAGGCAGCAGGGACACGGCTGCTCTGGGTTTCGGTCGCTGCCACGGGCACTGGGCAGTATGGCTCGTGCCTGGGATCAGCGGGGCAGATGCCGCTCACTCCCCTTGCAGGACACTCCGGTGACACGGGTGAAACTGCCCCCAGCCTCTGCCTCTGACAGGCACATTTCTCTTTCTCAGGACAGAAAGGCCTGTCCCAAACCAGCCAGGCCCTTCAGAAAGGCCAGCCTGAAACTTCACGGCTCTGCTGCAGCACAGTCTCCCCAGGGATTTCTGGCGGTTTCCCTGAAATCTGCTGCTTGAAGCAGCACATCTACAACTTGAAATTATCTTTCATTGCTTACTGTAGGCTGTTCAAACATGATTGCTAAATAATAAAACCTGCCCTCTTCTCTCTCTCTGCAGCCTCAGCGAAAGACGTGGCCATGGTTGCCCACAGCATGGCTAACAGCACCGCTCCTGTTCTTCTCCCCACCTTACTGCTCCTGCTGCAGAACAAGACCTACCCTGAAACCTCCACCCCTCCTGCTGCCTACGAGGGTACAGGGTCCCCCATGGCGCCCAGATCAGGCGGGAACCACACTGCCTTGCTCTACGACCTGAGGCTGGGGGAAATTGCAGCAGCCGCCATGGTTTGGGCAGTGCTGTGGCTGGTCTCCATCTTTGGAAACTCCCTCATTTGCTTAGTGATCCACTGCAGCAGGAAGACACCATCTACCACCAACTACTTCGTGGTGTCCATGGCTTGTGCAGACCTTCTCCTCAGCATCGTCAGCGTGCCCTTTGTGCTGCTCCACTTGACCTACGGCAGCTGGATGCTGGGGACCTTCATCTGCAAGCTGGTACGGTACGTGCAGTACCTCACCCCTGCGGTCCAGATCAACGTGCTGCTCTGCATAAGCGTCGATGGCTTCTATGCTGTCATCTACCCCCTGAGATTCAAAGTCTCCAGGGAGAAACTCCTCATGACGATTCTGGCCTCTTGGTTCCTGGGCGCGGCATTTGCAGCACCGGCTTTCACCTTCTACAGCTCCAGCAGCGACCACCACTGCCCCTTTTTCCCACCCGGTTCTTGGCAAGGAGCTGCCTATGGCATCACCCACCTGCTGGTCGTCTTTCTGATCCCAGCCAGCATCATCATCATCCTCTACCAGCGCATCATCATGTACATTCGGAGAGCAGGCATGGAGGAGGGGACTGTCAGGAAGACAATGGATAGAAAGGTGAAAACCACCAAGATGTTCTTGGTGCTGAACATGGTGTTTCTTCTTGCCTGGCTCCCTTTCTACGTGATACAGCTGTGGCACCCAAAAGAAACAGATGGCAGCAAGAGCTCACTGGTTTTCCTGGCCATCACCTGGCTCTCTTTCAGCTGTTCAGCTGCCAAGCCAGTCATCTACTTCATCTACAAATCAAACTTCAGGAGGGGAATGATGGAACTTTGCTGCATGTCCACCATGAAGTACTATCGTAACCACACCGACACCACCACCACCTGTTCTGGGATAGCCAAAAAAAATCACATTGGCATCGTTAACATCGTAGCTCCAGACAAAACTGTCCCCAAAGATTCCATCTATGAGGTTTTCATCAAAGCAGAGAAGGAAAATTGCCTGGCCTGCTAAGTCAAATCCTGCCAATAATCTCATCTCGTTGCTTTCTTTGCCTTGAAAATTTACCCTGTACCCCAGAACATACGAGTTTCCTCCCCGGTTTCATCTAATTTATGATTCCATAGTTTTAGCATAGTTTCTAGGGAATAAAGTTGTCTTGTTTCATTAAATGTGTTGATTTTGATTTGTGCAGTCTCTTTCCTTTCAGTTACCTCCTGCTGCTTGGAACTACTCTCCCTGAATCACGGACAGAACCTTTCTACAGAAGAGAAAAGCTGTGACACTCTCTCTATGTAGAGGAAAAAGGGAAAGGGAAATCACTGCTTTTCTGACCCTGCCCTGTTTCAGACTTGCTCCACTGCTGAAAAGGAAGGAAGGGAGCAAGGCAGAGTCCACCCCTAAGGCTCCAGTGCAGACCCGTGGTCTGCCCGATGCCATCTCACATAGAAAGCCCAGAGAACACACCAACAGGTGTGAAACCACAGGCTCCTATGCAACTTTCCCTCCTGTGAACTCAACCGCGTTTCCTCACCTCCCAAAAGCTGTAAAACGACACAAGTTGGCCAGGAAATGTCCAGGACTGCCCTGACACATCAGGTAGGGACACAGTGTCGCCAGGTTCAAACAGCTGGCAGTTCTGCTCTGAAATCACAAGCCGAGCCAGCCCTGCAGCTGTGAGAGGAGTCTGGAGGTTTGCTTTCTTAAGCCACCTTTCCATACCAGTGAAAGCCCAGTCACAGTTGGATCAGAGTAAGCATGACTCTGCTTGTACAGCTTCTTTTAGCCAAAACTATACTGCTAAAAACACTTTCTCACTAACCTAAGCTGTGTTTGAACTTGGGAGGATTTGCACATGCCAATGTCTCTTTATGCAGCTATACTGATAAACCTGCATGATTTCTACTCCATATGAGGCAGCCTTTGGTATAATTAAAAAAAAATTATCCAGAGCAATCAAGAGAAAACCTATTGCTTCAGTTCCTAGCCAGCTGACAGATCCCCCAGCCTGAATACCCAGCCTTCACCATGCAGCACAGGCGAAAGGAGCTATGATATGCCTGTACATCTGTCCGTGTCCCCTCCCACCTCCTTCCTTTCCCTTTTTCCCCAAGTCCTGCCAGTCCCCTCTAACTTTTATCCCATCAGCTGTGGCTACTGACCAGGCTCATGCCTTGGCAAACACCGTGCTTCTGAAAGAGACGCCTGAGGAAAGGCAGCCCTGGCAGCTCCAGCCCTTTAGATGAAGGTGGCCATTGCCAGAACTGTAGAAGACACCACGCCACAGCAGTTCCAACGGTGGAAAATGTCTGGCAGCTTGACAGTTGAAATGGCAGCTACTCCAGGATTAGGGTTGACTTTGGAAACCTGTAATGAAATGGATTGAGACTCAGCACTAGGTTCAGTTCTGGGCCCCTCACCCCAAAAAGGCCTTTGAATGACTCGAGCGTGGCCAGAGAAGGGCAACGGAGCTGGGGCAGGGTCTGGAGCACAGGTCTGCTGGGGAGCGGCTGGGGGAACTGGGGGGGTTCAGTCTGGAGAAGAGGAGGCTGAGGGGAGACCTCCTGGCCCTCGGCAACTCCCTGCCAGGAGGGGGCAGAGAGGGGGGATGAGTCTCTGGAGCCAAGGAGCCAGCGCCAGGCCCCGAGGGAATGGCCTCAAGCTGCCCAGGGCAGGGTCAGGCTGGCTCTGAGGAAGGATTTCTGTGCAGAAGGGGCTGTTGGGCGTTGG